AATGCAATTATTTATGCATTGGCACTTCTAACCCAGTGCTTTTACCAACTAGCTGTGAGTGGAGCAATGGAGTAGACATTGTTACAGATCTGTTCAAGCTCGTGTGCAGAATAACTGATACATGGTGATTAAATAAAACAGATACCTGTTGATCCATTGTAATGACGAAGCATGTGGTTTAGTACATTTACCCTTTGATGTTGTATTCTGTCTTAAGCTACTCCAAAGTTAATCATTTTTTTAAGTAACTGGAAAATACTTTGAACTTCAAAGTTGAGAAGAGCAAGAGTAAACAGATTTGTTTTACATCAATTTGTGTACTGTCAGGTTTGTCACATACAAAAGAAGGTCTAATTTGATGTGTGCTGAGTTAGTAGAGCTCAGTTAAGGTGCTGGTAGGTGCATTGCAGTCACCCTTAGTGGAATATTCACAGGAGAGCTAACTACTAATGGCTGCCTGGTGACGGGTTGGCAATGCACATGTGTAAATGTTGGGTGAATTCGCCATGGCTATAATATCCACTAAACCCTGGTACAATAGCCTGTTGACACTGAATTTGGGGATGAATTTTTGGAAGGTAATTTTACTTCAGCAAGGAACCAATGGCTTTGGAAGTGTATAGTAGAGGAGCAGCTAAAATTAGTAGGGTGGCATTAAGTGATGGAAAATTGCTACCAAGCCACACAATTTCCCACATTGGGGTGTTTCAAAGTTTGAGTGACTTGCCCTACCTTCCTCAATTGCTTTTGACAAAGTTTTAAGAGCGGGAATTCTATCTGCATGATCCACCTCTACAACACTGAAGGAATGGAGCTTGGTAAAGAGAATGAAACAGTGCCCAAATACTGCTTCCACATTTCATGTTCGAAATTACAGAGATTACTCTGCTAGCTAACCTGAAAACGCTTAAGACTGTGCCTAATATTATAGGATTTTTGAGCTCAGTCAGCATTTTGAATGTTGGTCAGTCCAAGAAATGTTAAAATTTTATGGTAATAACCCTTACACTAAGCTGGACTGCGTGCAATAAGAATGGACTCGGTTCAGGTTCATTTGGTGTTTGTGTCTATTGATAAATTTGTGCTAAAAGAGCAATTTTAGTCTGTCTGTTTTTAATGCCTTTCTGTTCACAATAAAGTATCATTATAATTACTTTTGAACCAAGTTCTTCCATGTGCAATAGGAATAATCTTTGATATCAGAGTCAGGAAATATCAATCCATTCACAGATTTTCAGCCCCCTGAAAGAATCAGTTGCTTGGTGTGAAATAGAAAATTTCTGAATGCAATTCTCAGTCTTTATATGGGTCACTAATCTTAACCTGATTGAGCTGCTAGACCATGACAGTGCTTCTGAGCCAAGAAGGATAGGATGGTATCAGCCAGAACCCCTTTTGGCAATCCAGTGATCTCTGGTGGAAATTTCACATGTACAATGTTGAGTGGGAACTTGATGTGATACTCTCTTGTTGAAATGGCCTGCAGAGATTCATAGTCCATACTCATTTTGAAGCATTGCCATTTGGATGATGTGAAAAGTGATTCATCAGTCCATCATACTGCAGCATGAATCAGTCCATTGAG